ATGAGAAGACTGTGCACTGCAATGAAGAGTAGCCCCTGCTCGTCACAACTAGAGAAAGCCCAGATGCAGCAACGAATATCCAATGCAGTGATAAATAAATAAATAAATAAATAAATTTATTTTAAAAAAACAGTGCATATAATTATTTTAAGAAATATAAAATAAGGTGTCTTTAAACAGAAACACAAGTGAAACAAGGTTATATGTTGATTGGTTGATGAGAATGTGACCAGAGGCTTGCAGGAACCTTACCCTGTCTGTCTGCTAGGAGCAGTGACTCAGCATTTGCTAGTTCACTGCTCAAGGTAATTTTATTGAACATGACTACCATGTATAACAAGAATTGACATGTATATGTGTATGTGTGTGTGTTGGAGTATTTTAATGCAAATTTCAGACATCCTAACATTTCCTTTGTAAATATTTCAGTATGTATCTCCAGCACAGTGGTTCTCCAAGTGTGGTCTAGGGACCCTGGAGACACCTGACACCTGAGATGAATTCAAAGTTCTGGGAAATCCTCCTTTTTCCCACTACATATCTCCATAAGGTTGGATTTTCTTCATACACATCAACCAAAATAACCACAATCATATCACAATGATGAAGCAAATACGAGAGTCTAGCTGTCTTGTATTATGGCAGACGTTACAAGGGATTTTCAAAGATATAAAATATTTCTAAATTAGTTTTTGTTTTGGAAAACAGTTATTTTAATAAAATATGTTGTTTATGTTAACATGTGGGTTTATTATTTAATGAATTACTAAATGTTTTTAGATATTTTCAGTTTTGATTTTGAATATAGTAAATATTGGTAAATCTATAACGTATATAAGCAAAAGTCTTTAGGGTCTAAAAACATAGTAGTGATCTTTTTTTTTTTTAGTAGGATCTTTTTTTTATCATGTGCATGTAATTTTATTTTAAACTGTATTATAAAAAAGCTGTCAGAATTTTAAAAAGAAGCACTAGTGCACTTCTTTGAGCACATGTTTGCAAAACTTGCCAAAAGGAAAAGGAATTTTTAAACTACTCCAGCTATGCATGAAAAGGAACTAGCACAGAATGATTCTAGTAATTAAAGTCACCAAGGCTACTTTTTGAAACCTGGAAATCCCACAGTAGCTTTTTAAAAAAAACCTTTTTTTTATTTTTTAAAAACATTTTAATGCTACATTTTATATACTTTTATTTATTATTATTATTTCTTGGCCACGAGGCATGTGGGATCTTAGTTCCCTGACCAAGGATTGAACCCAGGCCCCCTGCATTGGAAGCCTGGAGTCTTAACCACTGGACCACCAGTGAAGTCCCACTTTTTGTTTTCAAATAATTATGGCCTCACAGGAAGTTGCAGAAGCAGTGCTGAGAGGCTCAAGTGCCTGTCACCAAGCTTCTCCCAATGACAGTATCTTATGTAATTACCATAAAATATCAAGTCCAGGAAACTGACATTGGTACAGTATTGGTAACTGGACTACAGACCATATTCAGTTGTCATCACTTTTTACACGCATTCATTTTCATGAGTGCATGTAGCTCTATACAGTTTTACCCCATGTATAGATTTGTGTAACAACCACCACAGTCAAGATATAAAACTGTTCAGGGCTTCCCTGGTGGCGCAATGGTTGAGAGCCCGCCTGCTGATGCAGGGGACCCGTGTCCCGGTCCGGGAAGATCCCACATGCCATGGAGCAGCTGGGCCCGTGAGCCATGGCCGCTGAGCCTGCGGGTCTGAAGCCTGTGCTCCACAACGGGAGAGGCCACAACAGTGAGAGGCCCGCGTACCGCAAAAAAAAAAAAAAAAAAAAAGATCTTGGGGGGGGAACTGTGAGGACAGGTGTCTGGAAACCAAGGGAAGATAGTATCTAGAAGGAGGGAGATAATGCAAAAGAAGGTCATTCAAAGGCTAGTTTCTCCTGACAAGACTCATTGCATCTCTTAGCGTCTAAGGAGACTGAAGGGAAAAAGGAAGAGAGAAAACCCATAATCTTAAATGAAGGCTATCAGACACAAAATTATTTAAAAGCTTTCTTTTGGCTATAACCCTCAGACTGATCTGAATGCCCAGGTCTCCCATCTCTTCCAAATAGGGAAAATACATACTTCCCAAATAAGGAAAAGCCAATGTCACACAAAGTGAAATAAAATATCGGGTATGCATCATTTTGGTGAAATAAAAATTTAGACAACTTCAAGTTTATATGACATAGAGAAGGACTGGGGGTGGGAAGAAAAAGGAATGAATTAGAGGATTTCAAAGCAGTGGTCTATACTGAACCCCTGAGCTAACTCCAGTGAAAAGGAAGGCCCTGGTAGGTGTAGCATTTATTTATTTTTCTTTTTACTCTACCTGGACCCAGAAAGAAATTATGACAGCATAAACTTTATTTGGGTAAATCATTCAACAAGTGTTTATAGGGTAAAATTGAGAAAACGTGAGCAGAAAAAGTAATATTTTAATCTAGGATAAATGAGTGGGCAGATTCCCTCCAAGGGTAGATTTAGAGAAGGATACTACAGGCTTCAAACTAAAGGAGGCTACAAACCTACAAGAGTCAGAGAATGTTGGGCGCCCCTGTGGCTTTGGGGGCCTGACTGGAGCTACCTCCTGCCCAGGCAGGCGGGAGGGGTCCCCTTTGGCTCCAGAGAGATGGAGGTGGCTGCCAGGGGCCCAGAAGTGCCCCAGAGGGATGCAAGGAGTGCGCCTCTTGAGCCTTTGCTCCTGGCCAGTTCTCAGCTAAAGGGTCCAAGGCAGAGGAGCTCTCCCAGCCTCCTTCTGGCCATGAGGGTTAAGGAGCTGAGGCTTAAGGCACACCTGGACTGCTGGGGGTGGGGGAGGGGTGGAGGCAGAGCGCAGGAGACTGTGCTCCACCCCCTCCACCTAGAGAGACTGTGGCTGAGGTGGATTGTAAGGTCAGTTGTGGAGTCATGGACAGAGCAGGAGGAAGAACCAGGGAGGAGCTTAAGGGGGACGATTCTGGAAGGAGAAGCACTTCAAGGCAGGTTCTGAGTGCGGCAGCCCAGGGAAGCCTGCAGTGGGCTTCTTGCAGTGCCTGGCTCCTAGCCCTCCCTCAGTGCCTCAGCCTGGGGGACCCCCCCTTTGTTTCTATTGAACAGGCTAGCGTAATTAGAGCCTCAACACCCCTCTCTTCTTGGGACCACACAGCCCAGGGTTCTGTGTGAAACTTCTGGGTCTGCAGTTCCTACCAGGCTTCCTGTTGATCTAGACGTGAGTCCCCTGCCCGACCATCATGCCCTGTCCCCCTCTCCCCGCCTCCCCTACCCACACAGCTTCCTGTTCCTCTCCTCCACACACCATCCCCCGCACAGCACACCCTGTCCTCTCACCCCTAGTTCCTTCCTGGCAAGCTCCCTCAGGTCTGCATTCATTTCACTCCACACCCTGACTTAAATGAAGTCATCCCCCTACCAACCTAGTCCTGTTCACAAGGATAGGAACTAATGATATATCTACAAAGAACATGGGACCCTCAAGGACTGAGGTCATTTCAGGCACACCCTGCTCTCACCCCTAGTTCCTTCCTGGCAAGCTCCCTCAGGTCTGCATTCATTTCACTCCACACCCTGACTTAAATGAAGTCATCCCCCTACCAACCTAGTCCTGTTCACAAGGATAGGAACTAATGATATATCTACAAAGAACATGGGACCCTCAAGGACTGAGGTCATTTCAGTCATTTTTAAAAATTATCTCCAATCTGAAGCCATGAGATGGGGCAGGATCAGGTGTCCAGGAAGGTGTCTCCCCTATTAATGCCCTCAGTTCTGAAAGGCTATGTGGGCTTTCTGGCTTTCTAATGCCCCTGTTTTCACATGCCCTGGCATCCAGATTGCTTTTCATCTTTCCCTGGTGATTCCCATTTCTTAGGTCAGGGGGAGGTTAGCTGGGAGTCCTTGGGCTTCTGGTGTCCCCTAGCATGTAGCTAGGGTTAGGCTTGGGCCGTGCCAAGCCTCCTGGTATAAGTAGCTGCTTTCTCTGTAATTGGAGAGGAGCCAGAGGGTAGTGTCAACCCAGAGGACAGTCTTGTTGTTGCCACGAGGTGGTGTCCAGAAGCAGTAGTAGCAGCAATCTAGGGAATCTGCACAGGGAAGGGAGAGACACCCCTTTCCAAAGTGAACAGGAATGGAGCCCCTGAAATACCCATTTCTCATTTTTGCTCCCACCCCTGTCCTGTCATCAGATTTCTCAAGATGCATTAGCTAAGAAAGCATTGGGGCATTATTAACTAGTGGGTGCAAATTAGACTCTGTGATATAGGAGAAAGGTCAGTTGTGATAAGGGACTCTTTGGGAGATAGCTCCTTTCAGCTTCTCTTTTCCTCATCTTAAAATGAGGTTGATAAACCACCACTTCACAGTATGAGCTCCCCCCATTTATAGTTTCTATATGTAGTTTTCTTATTGTTTTCCTTCTGTGTTCCTAAAAGTAATATCACACACAGAGACAGTAAACTTGATGATTATATATATTAATTGACATAAAAATCCACAACATACATTGTTTGGTGAAAAAATACACAGAATAGAAAAGCACTTACATTTGATCACTTTTATTTATTATCTATCTCAGCACGCAGGAATAGGGAAATATCTAGAAGGACATTTATCCAAGGACTGACAATGGTTATACAAGGATGGAGAGTTTCAGGTAATTTTTACTTTAGTTTTGTATTTTCCTTCATTTTTTGAAGGTTTAACAATGACTTATACTCCTTTCACAAAAAGAATAAAGTCATCAAGGAAATAGACACACACACAGAATAGATCCTTAGGCAGATGGAGCGGGGAGCAGGGACAGAGGTCAGGCTGTCCTCTCCATTTTGCTGGTATTCACAACCTCTTCTTCCCCAATGAAAGTCACTTTGTGGATTAATTCATGCACCTAGAATCCTCCCCCACCCCTCCCCTGTTTTCCCCATCTCCAGTCTCTGAATACAGTTAAGGGTTCACTTAGGGCAGGGTCTAGCTCCTTATTGTGGCTCAGAGAGGTCACTGTGTTCACCAGGGACCTCTTTCGACTTCTTCTCCTCTGTATGTGTCAGATCCTGCAGGGTGATGATCACATTCTCAAACACCTGGGCCTTGTTGCTCTCATTGTCACAGGTTTCCTTTGAGTGGCCCTCCTCACCACAGTATGAACAGCGGACTGTATATTTTCTCTTCCTGCCTCTACGTATATCTCCAGGACCATCATTCTTATATGCAGAACCACCACTGGTAGAAGGAGATTGAGCCTGGGAACTGTTTAGGGAATTGATGACCAGTATTTGAGCCTGAAGTCTGGCCCTGACTCTGAGGGGAGGGGCACCTATGGATGTAAGTGGAGGGTTCTGAGACTCCACCAGGATCACATCCTCATCTGAGTCACTGAGGGTATCATCTACCTCTAACACGTTGCAATCAGCAGTGCTGATGGCTATTGGCTGGGGGCCCTGAAATGCCACAGGGCTTGCTGCCCTCTCCATGATTAGCTCAGATCTTTTGGGCCACTTCCGTTTCATAAAAGTGTCATCCCAATCCTCTTCCTCCCTTATCATCTTGATTAACTCCAGGAAATTGGGAAGCCACTCCAGATCATTTGCGTACATCCTGAGTAGATGCTTCAGCTTGAAGCGCAGGTCCCCATTCAACTCAGCCATTCAACTCAGCCCCTGAAAGGAGCTGGTGCAGGCAAGTCTGGTTTGTATCTTTCCCAGCTATGATCCCTGCCTGAATAGCATTCTGGAGCTGCATCTCTAAATGGATCACATAAAGGGAGGTTTTCTCCCCTTGTGCCTGCAAAGTGTTAAAAAATTTACCATGGGCAGTGACACTGCTTTCAGAATCCCCAAACACCAATTTCATGGTGTGCAAGAAATCTGCCACACTTAGGTTGGGGTTGGCCGCCTGCAGCAAATGCATGACCTCCCGCGTGGGGCCCCTAAGAGTTTTCATCAAACGCTTGAGCTTTTCCTCCTCAGACATATTCCAATCTGGCAGGGCCCCATTGACTTGGATCAGCCAGTTTTCAAAGGTTTCTTCCCCTTGGGCTGGCACCACCCTCCCTGAGAACAACTTCATGTTTCTTTCTGCCATATTGACCCTTAAAGGACCAAGACTCCTCCCTAGGGACTTCAATATGGAATGGGCCCAAGGTGGCAAGGGTGTGTTCTGCCGCCGGCTATTACCCACACGTGCAATGATGCTAGCCATGATGGACGATGATCGTCTATCTGAATATAACAAAATGCTCAGGCTTTTTAGAAAAGCCTAATCTGCAGGAGAAATCCTCAAAGCAAAGTTTCTGGGCTCTGCCTTCCTTCTATATCAGTAGGGACTGTAAAGAAAAGGGAGGGGGGGCTTCCCTGGTGGTGCAGTGGTTGAGAGTCCGCCTGCCGATGCAGGAGACACGGGTTCGTGCCCCGGTCTGGGAAGATCCCACATGCCGCAGAGCGGCTGGGCCCTGCGCGTCCGGAGCCTGTGCTTCACAACGGGAGAGGCCACAACAGTGAGAGGCCTGCGTACCGCAAAAAAAAAAAAAAGAAAAGGGAGGGGGAAGGTCAGTAAGGTAGTAGACTGCAGGAAAGCAATCTGCGGTCGCTTTCTTTACCTTCCTGAATGCCCTGAGGTACATTTTCCATTTGTCCACTGCCTTGAAAATATCCTGCAGGAAACTGGCAATTACAACCTTCAGGAGCTAATGGGTGTCCCTGTGCTAGCAGGGTGCTTTTCAGAGCTACAACCATCCCCTCCTGCCAGGCCTCCAGGTGGGAGAGCAACTGTTGCTTAGAATTCTAGGTGAAATAGTCAGTGTGTGGAGCCGATATTGGGCTCTCAAAATAGAGTGCAATGGTCTAAGTCTCACAGATTTGTGGTAGCAAGTAAGATCTCCATTAAACTCATGGTCTCACGTCTCAACCACACCCCCTTCTCAAAGTTTGCCCTGTTATTTCTCAAGATTCTTATATGAGCTCAGAAACAAGTGCGCGCCTTTATTTCACGTTCAGTCTCTGCAACAGGTGCCTCCGTGAGAAAGCTCGATTCCGAGGTAGGTCTACTTCTGTCCATATGAGGTTGCAGATCCCAGTCCTCAGGACCATCGCGGAGGGCAGGGCAGGGAAGGGAAGAAGCAGTCTCATCCCTCATCCTGCTCCCTCGACCCCTCCTCCGCTGTAGCCAGACGGAAAATTCCCTCTCCCACCTTGTGAATACGATTTCCTCACACCCCACTCCGGGAAATCGTTGGCCTACCAGCTCCGCAATCAGCTGCACAGAATTCAAGTTCGGATTCGGCTTTGATGGCCTGCCACGGAGAAACGGAATGGGACTTGGACACGCACACCCACATATCCATCACCAGGAAGGGAACAGGAGATGCAGAGGGTTCAAGGCAGACAGCTTGCGATTCCCCCCACCCTTCCCGCCCCATTACTACCCCCTGAAAACGCCCTCCCGCCAATCCTGGCAAATCCTACCCATTCGGCAGCATCCAGTGGAACCCACCTCCTTCCTCAGCGCAGCGGGGCCGCGGCAGTGCTCCTTCCCCTGCCTCGCAGTCCCCGATTCCCCAAACGGGGAGCCGCCCAGTCCTGATGGGGCTTTTCCCTCCTGTCTCCGGGCCTGGCAATCGCGCCCCCTTTCTTTACCTGTGTTGGGTTGGTGGACAGCCCATGCTCCGGCGTGGACAGCTGTGGATGCCGCCTGCCGGTCACCGTGGCCCTGCAGGAGAAAAAGATGACGCCTCCTCAGCAGCTAAGCGACCCGGAGCCGCCAGACGGAGCCGCTTCGCCCAGCTAAGGGTAGCAGAGTCGGGGCAGCGCGGTTCCCAAGGCAGCAGCGGCCGCCCCCGCCTACCCGCTGAGCCCTCCCGGCAGCCGCCGCTTCTTTTAGCCTCTGCCCATTGAGACAAAAGAGCAAGATGAGTCGGGCGGCGCAGCCAATCAACGGGGCGAGGGGGCGGCCTCCCCGCGCAGCCTCCAGCCCGAGGCCATTGCTAGCAAAAGCGGGAAGACGGCCGGCTGGGGCTGCGGCACACAGGCGCGGGAGCCGGTGAGGTGTCAAGTCCAGCTCGGACTCTCGGACTGGGCCGATTTGCATTTTACCCGTGAGTTTGCTGCTTCCCCCTCTCTTCCTTTCTCCTTCTCCCCTTACACCTCTGTGGTCCTCCACGCTTTGAGACCGGATGCCTTCAACACGAGGTGGGACAGAAATCAAGTGAACAATAAGAGTTCCTCACCTTTGTATAGGGGGAAGGGATGAAAATCATTTACTGAGCGCTTTCTACGTGCAAACACGCTTGCACGGACATCTCATTTATTCGTCTCAGCAGCCTTGTGAAGGAGTAGCAGTATGCCCATTTAACAGAGAGGGGACTATGTCAGTAGTCCAGTCCATCCAGTCACTATGGTTAGGAAATGCAGAGCTACGAGCTCACACCCAAGTCTACTTTACTGATTTCAAAGGCTGCCCCTTGTAAACACTCCTCTCTACTCTCAGATTGAGGGTTAGTTGAGACAAGCCAAAGCCAAAGTGGAGATGGGAAGGCCCACTTGGAACTACTATATAGAACTGGTGAGCAAGGACTATCATCTCCATTTTGCAGATGAGGAAACAGTCATAGAAAGGTTAGGCGTCTTGCCCGACATCATACAGCAAATAAGTATCAGCATCCGGTTTTACACCCAAGTCTGTTCTCCAGATGCCAACGATTTGCCCCGCTGAGCTGCCCTGGGGGCATTTTTTAAGCGGGTGGTCTTAAACCAGCTCAACAGCAGTCTTGGTGTGCTGGTAGTGCTGAGAGAGGGCTTGGGAAGGCAGTGGGAAGAGGGCAGTGGGGAAGAGGTAGGGAACTTTTATGGTACCTATTGTACAGAAGAGGAAACTGAGGCACTTTTCTTTCTCATTTTTACACTACAACAAGCTGCCTGCTTTTTCTTTAAGTAAAAACTTATTTTTACATCTTATGACCCCCAAAGGAGATAAGACTCAGAGAGGTGAAATGACTTGCCTGAAATTACAAGATGAAGCCCAAACTTGTATCCTGTCTCCCTGACACCAGAATCCATGCTGTTAACCAAAGTATGGGTACAAGGCTGGCTTCCTCAGAATCATTTTGAAAAGCTTGTTAGAAATGTAGATTCCTAAGCTCTACCTCTGGGGGATTCGGATTTACTAGGACTAGGGCTGGGGAGGATGATTTATATTTTTAAGCAGTGCTGTAGTTAATTCTGAGGTGTAGAGAGGTTTGTGAACAACGGCTGGAGACACCACGTTATGCTGGTGGTAATAAGTAAATGGAGCTGTGGCCAATGTATCTGTCTATACCATATCTGTCGTGAAATGTAACTCCAGAGCAGAGTTTCCTATCTAGGGTCCTTCCTGAAATTGTTTGCAAAGAGTAGAAGTTGGACTCTGTATATTCTTCTGAGTCTTAGCTTTGTAGATTTTCAAATGAGTCTGTGGCCCAGAAATGGTTAAGGACCACTCCCCTACAATCTTTCTTCCTAACATTTTTCTCTCTCAACTTGTACTTGAGGAAGAAGTGTGAGAAATGAAGCACAATTTGACCTAACCCCCGAACTACAGCTCTCTGCCACTGATAATAGCTCTTTCATTTCTTGGCTTGAGGACACGTTGCTAGGTTGCCCTTCTGTGAGCTCTTGAGGGGACCTCTCCTTTGCTGGATTTGGCATCACTGGCCCCAGAGAAGGAGCAACTCCATGGAAACGGCATGCAGGGCTGTCCAGAGTGAATGGGCTGTGAATTCAGTGGCAGAGAAATCTGTACCATTTTCCATGATTTCTGGTTCTTGAAGAGCAGATCTTATTTCCCTTAGGTAGACTGTGGTTAGGAGGCCCCTTTCAGGGCTTGTTCTTGACTCCTGATGCGTTGAAGCAAGTGAACAATCTGATGCCCTTCGACTGCTGTTGGGTTGTCTTCAACCTGCACACTTCACCTTCTCCTTTCTGCTTTCTTATTGACTGCCTCAATACCTAGAGTTCCTTGGAGTAAACAATGAACATTTGGAGATGAAGCACCTTCCATCTGAGGACTGTGGGCTTGTTCGTGGATGGAAGAGTGTGGGGAGTTGGAGGGTGGAGGGTGTAGGAAGTAAAGAGAAAGCTCGCTTCACACAATCAGGGGTGATGCTAGCAGCAGCTCTAGGGTTTCCTTCAGACTCTTGCTTCTGCTCCCCAATATCATGCCATCTGACCCTGGGTCTCTTGCAGATTCTTGTTCTGTGTTTAAATTGGCTTCATCGCCAAAGTAGGTGATCTGCAGTTGGACCTGGTGGGTGTGGGATCAAATAGGACAAAGAATAGATCTTATAGCTCTGACAAAAAATATTGGAAGGAAACAGATTGTGTACAGGTGCCTGGATTGGGCCATTAGAACAAAGTGAGGGTCTCTTCCTGCAAGACTGGGAGGAGGATTTGCTAAGCTAGCTCCAGTTAGATATAGGGCATCCCTGATCTCTGGCCTCGTGTGTGGGAGTGTGTTCCAATTCATGGCTCTAATGAGACCACATTTTCCAATTTCAACAAAGAAACCTAAAAAGCCTGAAGGTTAGAGAGGTAAAGCTATTAGTTGAAGCAACAATAGCTGCCCTTGTCTGCCTGGCTCCTCTGTGCCAGGAACTTTCCATCTGTTATCTTATTTAAGTTTCTCAGCAACGCTGTTGAGACAGGCATTGTTATCCCATTTTGCAAAGCCCATGAAGGACTCTTCTCTGTTGTCTTACAAACAAGAAATGAAAAAAAAAATCTTCCTTCATTTTGTTTTTTATCAATATTTTTAAATTGAAGTATAGTTGATTTACCATGTTGCGTTAATTTCTGCTGTACAGCAAAGTAATTCAGTTATACATATATATGCTTTCATTTTATATATTCTTTTCCATGATGGTTTATCATAGGATATTTGAATACAGTTCTCTGTGCTGTACAGTAGCACCTTGTTGTGTATCCATTCTATATATAAAAGCTCACATCTGCTCAGCCCAACCTCCCACACCATCCCTCTCCCAATCCCCACCCCCTTGACAACCACCAATCTGTTCTCTATGTCCGTGATTCTGTTTCAGTTTCACAGATAGGTTCATTTCAAACAAACAATTCAAAATGTACTCTGCAGATGACCCAGTGCATTAGACTGATTTCAGCCTTTAAAACAATGTTGTTGTAATCTTACTTATATTACTGGGATCTCATTTTTTTTTTTTTTTTTGCGGTACGCGGGCCTCTCACTCTCGTGGCCTCTCCCCTTGCGGAGCACAGGCTCTGGAGGCGCAGGCTCAGCGGCCATGGCTCACGGGCCCAGCCGCTCCGCGGCATGTGGGATCTTCCCGGACCGGGGCACGAACCCTTGTCCCCTTCATTGGCAGGCGGACTCTCAACCACTGCGCCACCAGGGAAGCCCTGGGATCTCATTTTTTAAAAATCAAGCTACTAATATAATTTATGGACCAACTTGTATACCGGGTAATGCATAAGCATTTTATATACTTCATAACATGAAACCTTCATGACAATCATTTTACAGATAAGGATACTGAGGCTCAGAGAGTGGAAGAGATTTGGCCAGGGTCATAAAGCTACAAAGTGGCGCAGTGAAATTCAAACCCAGGGCTGTCTGACTCCAGAGGCTGTATCTTTATGCTGTAATGCACTGCAGTGGGGAAAACAAGGCCCTCATTTTATATCAGCTTGTCTCTGTCACCCACAGATCTCTCTTCTTCCCACAGCCTGTATCCAGAGCCAGGTACCACTCATGTTTTAGGCATCTGTGCCTTAGGCCTCTTCCTCAGCCTAGAACCCCTGCTGTCACTCCTCCACCTAATGAGAGCCTACTCACTGGTTAAGGATCAAGTCAGCTGCCCCTCCTCAGAGAAATTTTTGGCTGCTCCCTATCCTAGGTGAAATAAATTGCTCTTACGCTTTGCTCTGACCTTGATTAGTGTACGCTTTATTTTACCTCCCAGTATAGTTTAGCTCATGGTTGACCTGTCTCCCCCACTAGATTCCCAAGCCCTTGAGGGCAGGTACCAAGTCCTGTTCACCTCTGGCTCCACAGTGACTTACCTATAGTGATTTCATAGATGATCAATATGTGTTTGTGAGCTGGCCAAAGGAATGGCTGAAGGATGCCGGAATGAACAGAGAAATGAAGGGCTGGATCTTGGCGCAGTCATGAAAGCTGTGTATCTGGGCTAGACTGGCCAGGGGAGTCTGGAATCCCCTTGGCTCACTTTACTAGGCTGTAAACATAGGAGACACATCATGGGGTCCAGGGGGTAACTGCTGTAGGCTGACTCCAGACTCATTCTGTGGCCTCTATTTAGAAATTCTTGTTTAAGGGGCCAGGCTGTCCTGGATTGTTTATGTAACACCTTTGCATTCACAGAAGACAGGTCTTCCTTGCCTCTCATGTGAACACAAGATACCACTTCATCTTGTTCTGAGTATCCTGCAGGAGTGTCTGCAGCATCCTCACAGACGATGAGGTCGGGAAGTATCTTTTGTAAAAAAAATATTGTTTACTGAGGCCACCATGCCATGGATGGTCAACCACTTTATCTCATTTTATTTTGTTGATCTTTGCAACAACCTTTTGAGGGAGGTCTATTGTCCTTAGTTTGTAGCTGAAGAAACTGAGACTGAGGAAGTGTCTTGCCTAAGGTCACACAACTAAGCAAGTGGTGGAGGGAGAATTCAGGCTCAGGTCTGTCTGCCCCCAAAGGCTGGCATTTTAATGGAAAAACACATGGGAGTAAAGTAGACTCCCCCTCCCCCATAAAACAGGAAGAATTAGATTTATAAAATGATGACAGATATTTAAGGTAAATTGTTTCTAAATTATTGTTCAGCTTTAATCCCTGAAAATGACTGGCAAAAATGGCAGAAGGAACCAGTGATGGAAAAAGCACAATTCCTCTATCAAATACTGGCCTGCATTCCCCCACATCAGCCGCCTGCCACATGCACAGTATGAGGATGCCTAGAGAGCACTCCTCCCTGTCTGCTGATTTTACAACTGAGATGCATTACACTCCAAGATGTCGATATATTTCTAAAGGTCACACAAGAAGTTGGTAAGAGAACTGGCACTGAGAATTCTGGTCTGCCAAATTCTAGCCCAGTTTTCTTCGAAGTCAGCTCTCCCTATACAGTCAATCAACACATGTTTACAGGTTACCCAGGAAAATGTGGGGAGGAAGTGGAACATTACTGCACTCTGAGATAGAAGAGGGGACAAACGTTTCCCTCACCACCTGACCTTACGTAGATGCAGGTAAAACTTGGGGAAGAAATCCTTGGTAGGAATGCTGGGTAATATCAGGCGCCCCTGTGGCTTTGAGGGCCTGACTGGAGCTACCTCCTGCCCAGGCAGGCGGGAGGGGTCCCCTTTGGCTCCAGAGAGATGGAGGTGGCTGCCAGGGGCCCAGAAGTGCCCCAGAGGGATGCAAGGAGTGCGCCTCTTGAGCCTTTGCTCCTGGCCAGTTCTCAGCTAAAGGGTCCAAGGCAGAGGAGCTCTCCCAGCCTCCTTCTGGCCATGAGGGTTAAGGAGCTGAGGCTTAAGGCACACCTGGACTGCTGGGGGTGGGGGAGGGGTGGAGGCAGAGCGCAGGAGACTGTGCTCCACCCCCTCCACCTAGAGAGACTGTGGCTGAGGTGGATTGTAAGGTCAGTTGTGGAGTCATGGACAGAGCAGGAGGAAGAACCAGGGAGGAGCTTAAGGGGGACGATTCTGGAAGGAGAAGCACTTCAAGGCAGGTTCTGAGTGCGGCAGCCCAGGGAAGCCTGCAGTGGGCTTCTTGCAGTGCCTGGCTCCTAGCCCTCCCTCAGTGCCTCAGCCTGGGGGACCCCCCCTTTGTTTCTATTGAACAGGCTAGCGTAATTAGAGCCTCAACACCCCTCTCTTCTTGGGACCACACAGCCCAGGGTTCTGTGTGAAACTTCTGGGTCTGCAGTTCCTACCAGGCTTCCTGTTGATCTAGACGTGAGTCCCCTGCCCGACCATCATGCCCTGTCCCCCTCTCCCCGCCTCCCCTACCCACACAGCTTCCTGTTCCTCTCCTCCACACACCATCCCCCGCACAGCACACCCTGTCCTCTCACCCCTAGTTCCTTCCTGGCAAGCTCCCTCAGGTCTGCATTCATTTCACTCCACACCCTGACTTAAATGAAGTCATCCCCCTACCAACCTAGTCCTGTTCACAAGGATAGGAACTAATGATATATCTACAAAGAACATGGGACCCTCAAGGACTGAGGTCATTTCAGTCATTTTTAAAAATTATCTCCAATCTGAAGCCATGAGATGGGGCAGGATCAGGTGTCCAGGAAGGTGTCTCCCCTATTAATGCCCTCAGTTCTGAAAGGCTATGTGGGCTTTCTGGCTTTCTAATGCCCCTGTTTTCACATGCCCTGGCATCCAGATTGCTTTTCATCTTTCCCTGGTGATTCCCATTTCTTAGGTCAGGGGGAGGTTAGCTGGGAGTCCTTGGGCTTCTGGTGTCCCCTAGCATGTAGCTAGGGTTAGGTCCCCCGCACGCACACCCTGTCCTCTCACCCCTAGTTCCTTCCTGGCAAGCTCCCTCAGGTTCTCAGATCTGCACTGAACATTCATTTCTTCTTGATCCCAAATTTCCTTCATGGACGCTAGCTCCCCAGTTACCTTTCATACAGCTCCATCTGCTCCCAGACCATTCTAGGGTAGGAGCAATATTTTGGAATCCTTGAATGGCCTCTTCCCTCTAGTATAGTGGTTCTGATCCAGGGGCAATTTTACCTCCTCCCTACCCCCCGGGGACATATGGCAATGTTTTTAGATATTTTCGTCTGTCAGAGCTGGGCAGGTCACAACTTGTGCTACTTGCATCCAGTGAGTACAGACCAGGATGCTGCTAAACATTGCAGGATGCACCGGGCAGGCACCTATGACAAAGAATTATCTGGCCCCAAATGTCAGTAGCATGTATGCTGAGGACCCCTGCACTGTTATATAGCTACAGGTCTACAAGGTTAAGCTTGGAAACTGTCAGATACGGAACCTTTTCATGCTAAACTTCCAGGAACAGCTAATCTTTCTGTTCCTCAACTGGGAGAGGGGGGTGGGGTGTTGCCATGAAACAGCTACCACATTGTCAGGAATCTGCAGAAAGAGAGGCAAGGAGATTCCCCGCTCCCTAAATTTACTACCAACTTTTAGAGAAAGTACTGGACTACAAGTTTTGAATGCCTTTCTGTCTCTACAAGATAGTGCCACTTTTTGGAAAGAGAATAGCAACTTATTATTTTAACAGTTTATCAAATGCAAGATTTCATGTGGTGAATGCAGTAAGGTTTCGGAGCCCTCCTTTCCCAATTTTATTTTCTTCAACCTTCAACCTTCTTTGAATATGAGAGTATTTGCTGGATCAGAAAAACACTGTAGAGGTGTCTCTGTTCAGCAAAACTCACTGCCTTTGTTTTAATTTAAAGTGGATGAATTCTTTCTTAAGAGTGCACTTGTTTCTCAGAAACTGGCCCCCCAAGTTGCTTGTTCCCTTAGAGCTGAGTTTCTTGGAACTCTGTTTCTAACTAAGCAATGAAAATGCTCACTAACAGATTTCATTGGTCAGTCTAACCTCTTTTTTTCCCACTCTTGCCAGTCTCTTCCCTCTGCACCCAGTTATCTTCAGCATGGGGGAACAGAACCACTCTCCTGGGAAGGAGCTTCAGCACTGGACACAAACAGAGTCTCCGGGAAAGAGAAGCTGGCACTCCCAGGCCTACGCCCTTGGGGCCGTTTCCAACTTTATGTCTACTTTTCTGACCTTTCCTATCTATAAGGTTGTGTTCCGGCAACAGATCCATGCCATGGCGGTGTCAGAGGCTGTGCGGCAGCTTTGGCATGAAGGCCTTCAATATTTCTACCGGGGAATCTACCCGCCTCTTCTCTCCAAGACGTTGCAAGGGACTCTGCTTTTTGGGACTTATGATAGCCTGCTGTATTGTCTCTCCCCTGTTGGGCCACACTCCCTGGGACACCGCTGGGCTGCAGGGCTCATGTCTGGTGTAGTGGAGGCTGTGGCACTCAGCCCCTTTGAAAGGGTGCAAAATGTGCTCCAGGATGGTCGCAAGCAAGCTCGCTTTCCCAGCACCTTTAGCATTCTCAAGGAATTCCACTCTTATGGGGTTTGGGGGCGGCTGTCGCTGGGTTACTATCGTGGTTTCTGGCCTGTCCTTCTCAGGAACAGCCTGGGGAGTGCTCTGTATTTCTCCTTCAAGGATCCCATTCAGGATAGCTTGGCAGAGCAAGGCCTGCCCCATTGGGTTCCTGCCTTGGTGTCTGGGAGTGTCAATGGAACAATCACCTGCCTAGTTCTGTATCCTCTGATTGTGCTAGTTGCCAATATGCAGTCCCATATTGGCTGGCAGAGCATGCCAAGCCTGTGGGCCTCTGCCCAGGACGTGTGGGACACTCGGGGCCGAAAGGTGTTCCTGATCTACCGTGGAGGTTCCCTGGTCATCCTAAGGTCCAGCGTGACATGGGGCATCACTACTGCTATCCATGACTTCCTCCAGAGGAGGTATCGTTCCAGGAAAGAGCTGAAAGACTGACTAGCTTCAGGCAGTGTGGCCATGGCAACTTGTTATTCTAAGCCTTCCTGGGTTGGTTTAAATAGCTTACTTCTTTAGCTTGGTCACCTAATACAACTATTCTTTAGCATCTTTCAACTGTCATTGCACTCAAGAAGTTCCCAACTACCAGCCTGTTGGGCAAAGACAAAGCCAACAGTGTTCCTTGGTTAGCAAAAGAAATTCACCCCAGTCTATCCACAGCTTCAACAGGCTCAGACCCAGGAAGCCTTTAAGTAACTGGTCGCCCACATGAAATGTCATTCCTTTAAGGAATTCACTGACTCTAAAAGACATGAATAAGAGGAAACTCTAAAAGGTGACCTTAATTAGGCACTGTGAGTTCTGGGACCCCTCCAGTTGTCCTCTGGACCAAACTGAGTGGAGGACCAGGAATTCCAATTTCAGAGAACTAAGCTTGACTCTTAGGATGGGGATTCCATAGACTTTCTCAGATGGCTACATTTTCATGACATTGTTCACTACTCCTGCCACCACCACTCTCACTTCTCAAGGCTATGGATACTAGTTTCAGGGTAGCAGTTATGGCTGGGAATCCTGAGTTAGACTTGCCTCAACTGATCATGTGCCACAAGAACTGGTGGGAGTGGGAAGAAGTGTGGTCCCTGGATGGATGGGAAGAGTAGACTTTGAGGGAATAGGTTTAGTTGCATGCAGAATAGAAAATTCTACTATAGGTTGATTGGTGTTAAATGCTGGGACATTTTTGATAGCAAGGCAATAACATTGCCTAGAAACCACTTGAGGTTCCCTAAGAAATCTGGAACTGGAATGACTATATCTCTTCATAAATAATTGCATATTTTATTGCTGTGGATAAATATAGTTACTGTGACATAAGTTAAAGATCTGAAATTATAGCCTGTCATTCAGAGCCATTCAAAATATGGTCCCCATAAAACTTGTTGCATTTTATCACACCATTCCCACTTACATAGATCCTATATCCTAGCCAAACTGGACTATTGTTCCCTCCCCAAACATGCCACTAGCTTTCCCATGGCCATGCTTTGGCCCACACTATTTTCTCCACCTGCAATACCCATTCTTCACATGCCAGTCTGCCAAAATCCTTCCGGTTTCTCAAAGCCCAGCTCAGATGCCACCTTCTCTAAGGAGCCTTTTCTGATTATCCCTAACTGAATGTGATTGCCCCTAAATGAATGTGACATTAGTCTCGTGTGATGCCCCTCTCCAATATTCATATGTGGCACTGATTCCATTATGTCACTGATTTCATGTGGCCTGTGTTCTTGATGTTCTTCAATACCTCCTACTAGACTGTAAAACTCCTTGAAAGCAGGGATTCTTGTACACAGTTTTTTTTTTTTTTTTTTTTGCGGTACGCGGGCCTCTCACTTTTGTGGCCTCTCCCGTTGCGGAGCACAGGCTCCGGACGCGCAGGCTCAGCGGCCATGGCTCACGGGCCCAGCCGCTCCACGGCATGTGGGATCTTCCCAGATCGGGGCACGAACCCGTGTCCCCTGCATCGGCAGGTGGACTCTCAACCACTGCGCCACCAGGGAAGCCCTTGTACACAGTTTTAAATCTCCCATTGTGCTTAGGTGCTCAATAATGTTGGCTGAATTATTGAATTGATTATCAAGCTGTGATATGGTCTTTATCCTCAGGGTGCTGTCCCTTGTACATGAAGATAATGTTATTGATTCACTGTCATTAAGACCTGCCTTTGGGGTGTGGTTTTTGCTTTATTAGTGGATTTAGGTTTGTGCTAATGATAATGATGCTGCTGCTGCTGATAATAGTAACAACAGTAATTAAAGATGACTTTCAACTGGGACATTTGATGAGTTTGTGTTATTGGTGACATTTTTTTGTTGTTGACAGCACTGTAGGATCTGAAATTTCACAGAGACATTGCGTAATGGTCCGATTCATTTTAACTCTGGAATTTTGAGGATTTCCAAGATGACATATGTTGCAGTTTTTCCCTTATAGATGATATCATGTAATGATCTCCACTTGCACCTCCTTACCAAACCAAAATTGCCATTTATAATGATCTGACTGTAGATCCTAGCTGTGGGGATTCCTCACTGAATATCAAAGAAATTAAAGATACAGCTATAAGCAATATGAGATCAGAAAGCATTTGCCAGCAAGGTCAACAGAAAATGGCTGGTCCAGAATCACTGCAAATGAGTTCCCATGTCTGATCCCTGTGCAGACTTAGATGGGGTGGGACAGTACTCTGCTTGCAGATTCAAGTATGGGGAACACAGAGTTTGTACAAGGGAAGGAAAAGTAGAAGAGCTGCTATTTCTATTTAAAGGCTAGCTTTCAGAATGAAAAAAAGTATTTACAAAAATCATTACTTAGCTAATGGCTTTGGTTTTTAAGCTGAAAAGAAGGGGATAAACTATCGTACTCCCCCACTTTTCTTATTCAAGAGATGCATTTATTTCCAAGTACACTGTCCATTTCCATTTATGTCACTGTGTCAGTCCATGTGTCAGTTCTTCATTTAAACTTCTTACTTAGAAATAATTTTGAACTTCTAGAAAAGTTGCCAGCATAAGTAGAGTTTAAAGAATACCCATAAACCATTTGCTTTATTATTTGAGAACTCATTCTCTGTCTACAGACACATGGTATTTTTTCCTGAACTATCTGAGTTGCAATTTTTAATATTTCTAGGTTCAGTATTTGTAGATTCAAATCCTTTTAAAAAGACTAAGAGCTTTATCTCTATGACACTGGCACAGTTATTACAGAATATTAGAAAATGAAAACTCATGGCATATTTTAAAGCTACACTAGTGATAATTGTTTAAATTTACTATATTTGCCTTTTTAAATACTTTACATTATGTGGGTTAATACTTGAAGCTATGCAATTATAAACATGAATTTACAACTAAATCATGTTATAATTGAAATAGTTTATTTTTACAAATTGATTCATATAAAAACCTAGGTAAAGTTCTAAAATTATATAGACCAATCAACTTTCCCCATTTAAATCTTCTAAGTAAAATTTAAGAGTGTAATGGTTTTCTAGTAATTTTAAATATCAATATTTAGTTTTGTGGTGTTAATATTATATTTTCTGACATTTAAAAAATGGCCTTTGGACTTGAGATCAATAAAATAAAGAGGTAATAAAAACCTACGTCTGTTTAAAACTTATAAAATATAGACGTTAACACTAAAGCTACTTGGTACAGAAAGTTGAAAGAAAAAGAATAAAAATCCCTGTCTGAGCTCTATGTATTTTTGTCTAAATAGAAACTACATCAGCTTCCTAACGCTCAAGGTGAAATAATGAGTAACTAAGGTATTAAAACTATTATCATAAGTATATGGTTTATGAAGACTTAATTTTGCTTTTAACATTTAGTTTTAAACATTAAACAGCATTATAATTTAACAATGTGTTTGGGATAACTGCATATGGTGTAGTATATAAAAGTTAATAAAATAATGTTGTATAAGACATAAAAAGCATGATAACTCAGGAAAAAAGTGAAAAGTTTTCCTAAAAGAATAAGGTAAAAAATACTGTATTTCCGTATTCTGTTCACTCTCCAACTTCTTTGTTTCTTTCATACCATCTTCCTTTTCCTCAAATCTCCATCCTCTGTCCCAGTTCATGACCTTACTTTCTATTTCATTAGGAAGAGAAGCATTCAGAAGAGAACTGCCAGTTAAAAGAACATTTATAAATGTTGCCCATGTAATGACCACCCAAGACAAGAAATGCAACATCTTGATAACCTCCACCCCTAGTCCTCCTGCACTCCAGGCCCCTCACTGATGACATTCCTCCACCCATCCTAGAGATAACTCCTATCCTGACTATTATGATATCATTTCTTTACTTTTCTTTATAGATTTATCTTCCTGTTACCGGAAGGGGGACACCTTCAAGGGCCTGAGAGTGGGCTCTTGTCTAACACTCAGAAATGAATTGTCCGAGGAGACACATATACTGACAAAGCAAAAGACTTTACTGGGGAGGAGCACCTGGGCAGCAGGGTAAGGAAACACAGGAGAACTGCTCTGCCACATGGCTCACAGTCTCAGGGTTTATGGTGGTGGGGTTAGTTTCCAGGTTGTCTCTGGACAGTCATCTTGTCTGTGCCCATATTTGGTCTGACTCAGGGTCCTTCATGGTGGCGTGTGCATCTCTCAGCCAAGATGGAATCCAGCGTGAAGGTTTCTGGGAGGTTGGCAGAACATATTATGGGCTGGCATTTCCTCCTTCCTTTTGGCCCCTCCTGAATTCTTCTGGCTGGCTGTAGCTTGTCAGTTCTATGTTCCTTATCAGGACCTCCTGTTGTGAGATAACTCATGCAAGCAGTTATTATCCTGCCTGGCCAGGGAGGGCAGTTTCTGTCAACAGTTCCCTAACATTCTGTGTAAGCATCCCTAAACAGCACAGTTTTATTTTACAGATATTTGAACTGTATATACTTTATATACTTGGAATTGTGACTACTTCTTTCATATTATTTGTGAGATTCATCCATATTGTTGCAGGTAGTTGTAGTTATTTCATTTTTCTAAACTGTAATAAATTTACTTTAAAAAGATTTTTTTAGAGAAGTTTTAGGTTCACAGCAAATTTGAGAGGAAGGTATGGGAGAATTCCCATATACGCCCTGCTGCCACAGTTACATAGCCTCACCAATTATCATCCTCCCACACCAGAGTGGTACATTTGTTACAACTGATGAATCTATATTGATGCATCATTATCACCCAAAGTCCAGTTTACCTTAGGGTTCACTCTTAGGGCTGTATATTGTATGGGTTTGGACAAATGTATAATGACAGGTATCCACCATTATAGTATCATACAAAGTAGTTTCATTGCACCCCCCAATCCTCTGTGCTCTGCCTATTCTGATCCCCGCCCAACCTCTGGCAACCACTGATCTTTTACTATCTCCATAGTTTTGCCTTTTCCAGAATGTCATATAGTTGGAATCATACAG